TTTGCAGGCCACCGGACGGCATGATTCTGTGCATGAATAAAGTGGGAAAGACGTGATCCGGAATACATTCATTGGCTATCAGATTGGAATTAACCGCAAAGCGAAAAGATGTAGGTTCGATAACGCCTGAGGCGATGACTAGTGCCTATATCTTGCTCTCTTCCTACTTTTGCATAATATCGATGTGCGTTAAAAAAACTTCAGGCATTAAATTGAAAATAGTCATTAATGTTGTATCTTGCTCAGGCTCTGCAGTTTTTCTTTCTATTGGGTTGTCCAGAAAATCCTGCGACACTTTGTCCAAGATTTTTGACTGTACCTTTTTTGTTGAATGGGATATTCAATCAGCACGGTTATCACCGGTAGCACGTAGGAGACGTGTACTTTTTCTGGGCAACTTCTCAACCCTCTTACTTTAGAAATCCGGCGTTTGCTTCGAAAAGAAGCGCTTCATCCAATTTTCGAGGTGACCTCAATCATTGGATTTTTTCTCTTCGAGGTAGCGCTTCAGTGTACTAATTACGCAATATTTCGACTAAGTCAGGCGAGTAAGCCAAGCACTGCAGAATTTCCCGATCAAAATCCACGATCTCCTCATGTGTAATCCTTCGCCACATACAGATACGGGTTAGGGTGGGGTAACACCGTATCGAGAATTTCTGCGTGATTTGACGCATGGCTTCGGCCAAATTTCGAAGGTTGTTAAAGCCGACAATGGTCGATACCCTGGTGCAGGTATCCAGCAGCTTTCTGTAGCGAATCAGTTTGCAACCTCATCAGAAACACTAAAAAGTCCTTCTTGACGAAGGCCTGCTTTCGTTCCTGCGGGTAGCTTTCCTCCTTGTCGAATCCAGTAGTGCTTATGTGTATAGTTTAGTCAAGGCCAGAGCTATCTTCATTAGCCATCATTTTTGTCAAGAGATTCCTTTGATGCGAAAGAAGAAGAGAAATCTGAATCATGGTCACACGGTTCGCCTCCCCAGACTGGCGCAACCCATGTGGTGTCAATGGCGAACATACTGATCTGTAACCGAGATCGTGCAGATCCTCGACAATTGTCGAATGAATGCACATAAGCGTTGTTGTTAACCTACTACTGGTACCAACCGGCTGCGCCTCTTGGAAGTTGAGTAAACGCTTGTCAGTCATCGTCTACTGCCGTCCAGCTCCGTGCCCCATTTCGAACAAAATATCTCCAGTTGCGAGGGAACAAGGCCAACGGGACACCATGGCCTAGTGAATGACATCCCTCCTGACTACAGCACAGATGCTAGCTGCAAGGACACAAACGGAGTGGCTTTACAGGAGCTCGAAAAATAAAATAGGTCAAAAGATGTGTTGATTCAGAGACAAGTTTGAAACAGTTAAACGCCGCACGTAGCCTCCATTTACGCTTCTGCCGAAACCTCCGAAGATACACTGCAGCAATCAAATACCAAAACTACTGGAAAGAGTTTTGGTCTTTTCCTAAAGAACTTTGTTTGAAGTGTCGCAGGATTTTCTGGACAACCCAATAATTTTTAGCGCCGCTTATGGAGGCATGCCTGTCCACGCGGCCCAAAAGGCAAAAGGCGTGCGGTCGTCAAGGTGTTACACTATTCACTTATTCCAACCATGTGTGAGAAGGTGAAACCGTCATAGATAAAAAGAAGTCATAAGAATTCCCAATATTCTCTGTCAACATTCTCTTAATCTTTCCTATATTACGTATTCATTTACGTACATATGAACATCAAGGCGAGACCACTTTCAGAGAATCAACAACAACAGTTCATATAAAAAACAAAACCAAACCATTTTACTTGCGATGCTTCTTTCTACCCGGTGATCGTGATCGCTCTCGATTCCTCGACTTTTCTGGACTGGCTGATCTGCTTGGTGAACGTCGCCGTCGTCTCTCACGGCGTGATAGATCTTCTCTTTCTCTCTTATTTTCACGTTGTCTTTCCCGGCTATCGTGTCTCTCCCTATTTTCTCTCGCACGAAGCTTTTCTCGACTCCTCGATCTGCCTGCCTTATTCCGAGGCGCCCGCTCTTTGCTGCGAGAGCGCCTTCCGCTTGATTTTTCAGGACTTCTCTCACGGCGATACCTTTGAGGCAGATCATCTCTACTGCGGGACCTCTCACGACGCTTTTTTTCTGGGAGTGTTTCTTTTTTTCTATCAGGAGACCTTTTACTGCTACGATGCTTTTCAGTATGCCGTTCCTCTTTCCCATTTCTCATTGGAGAAGGATCCTTTTTCACGTGTGGTCGTCGCGGCTAAAAATAACCATGTTGGTGATTGTGTATTTCTCAAAGTCTAGCCGAACCACTTACCTTGTGGTCTTTTCCCTCCTCTTCCTCTGCATTGTACCGTTGAGCTTTCCCTTCTAAAAATGAGCAGGTAATCCCAAAAACCTTTCAGCAATTTTTCTCGAACTTACCCTTATAGCCTTGATGTAGCTTTGCCACTGATTGTGAGAAATCCACATGAATTCTTCTATCATCAATGAGCACGTTGTCCATTTTGAAAAACGCCTGCTCGCAGCTTTTTGGCTAAACAAGAACATTCCGAAAACCTATTTATTAAAAGATTATCAAGAATATACTGTTATACCGAAATCAGAGACGGAATCGTAACTAGGAACAGGTTGGATATCAACGCATCATTCCTGCCTTATATAAAAGTAAATCTTCAAATAAGTATGATGACAAAGAGGTTTGGCAGAAGAACGTTCTCTTCAAACCAATTCTGTTATACTAACAAACTTCTTCTACCACCAAATAGAGTCAAGTTAGGAAGCCTAGAAATCACAACATTTATGTTCATGGTACAAGGCTGACAGATGATAATCTTAACAGGGCCGAACAAAACCTTTTTCCGCTTAGGAATGCCAAATTGTATTTGAATTGTAGACAAAAATGAAGGATTTTTGAGTGTGAGCCCCTATGTTTCCATTTCTGATGCATTTTGTTAACTGCTGACCAGAAAACCTCCACCCTAGTAGACCTTCCAGTGCAAGAAACACTAACCTAGTAGACCTTCAGTCACCTTTTAGAACGCAGAAAGAGTGGTGAGATAAATGGGGATGAGAACTCACGTCGTCAAATTCAATAAAGGCGTACTGTAGAGATTGCTGCGTTCTTCGATCTCTTATCACCTGGAATATCATTGAGGAGACTGACCGTGAGATAGGGAAAGCTATTGGTTGTGAAGTTTAGAATAAGGCCGACGCTATATCCCATCTGAACATACCTCGCATTTGATGAT